ACAATCGAATAATTGGTAAAAGTTATCTATGTAGGCAAAATCTGATTAAGGATAAATATGTAGTATCTTTATTTAGATATATTATCAGTAATAAAGATAAAAATTTTAAAAAAAATTTTTATCATGCGGTATCATGCGCATTTTATATATCATGCGCATTTTATTATAAAATGCACATTTTACCCATCTCTAGGTTGTGCATCAGCTTTATTAATGATAAATTTTCTAGCCCAACTAAATATCCGATTTTGCTATGTGATTCGAGTAATATTAGTTGATTTACAACTAGCATAAGGTTGTAGCCATAGACCTTTAATTGACCAGTTATACCTTTTACTAACCTCTTACTTAGGTTGAATCGTATAACTTGCTAAAAATCCTCCAATATCATGATCTACAATCATTGTATCAACAATACCATATCCTGCTTGTGCACTTGTCACTTCACCTATCATAAAATCATATGCAGGATATGTGAAATTATCATTGCTACTAGTTTTCAATAAACGATATCTTATTGCTATATGACTATATGTCTTATTAAAGTCTGCTGCGTATGAACTATTGATCTGACCTCTATCTATCATTCTAGGACATGGTTGCCAGACAATCACTCCACATATTCTAACTTGTGACAATTGATTTGTAAATGTGGTATTAATCGCACGGCTAAGTATATCTGGATTAACAACATTAGTTTCTACTAATATTGAATTATATATTACAGCACAGGTTTGAATGCTAAGAGGTGCAATTGCAGATACTCCAAGCAATGCTAATAAACATGTGCCAAGAAGTATATAAACCACACTATGTTTATGTGTCCCTACATTCCATAATTTAATTTCTGTTAATACAGGTTGCCCCGCTGCTCCATAAAAATTAAATATATTACGTTCTGTTAATTTACTTAATGTAGTCCATTCTAAAGCTGTCATTCTATTACTAACGTTCATCATTATTATCATAATTCCAACTCCAGTAATGATAATAGATAAAAAAAAAGTTACTAATTCCGAGTATCGCCACTAATTGACCGGCACTCAAATTGACTATCAAATTTGTCATTTTGGATACCTGTATCCTATTTTTTGGTATAAACCTTTAAGTAATGTAATTAAAGAATTGTATTTAAAGGAATATGTTTAATATACTTAATACTTTCTAAAATTCATGCAAAAGTGTTTTTTAAATAAATACTTTCTGTGCTTGTGTCGTAATTTGAGAAATTTTGATTCTCTAATTGCCGCAATTATGCTATTCCTAAATTGTGATAGTTATTATAAATTTAATTAAGACTACTTTGTTTAGAATCTTTATTGCATCATGCATTACCTAATGTAAAAAACATTCATGCAGATTTATTATATGTAAGGCGAGACCAATTTGATTCAGTGGTTTACGTTACCCCTCTCCCGCCTACTATATACGCAGAAAATTTTGGAAAATTTTTATAATATTGCAGATCTTTTCGGAGAAAAAATTTATAATAAACTCCCTCCAGCTCCTCACCCATTTTTTTGTGAGTAGGATGTAACGTAAACTACTGAATTAAATTGGTCTCGCCTAAAGCAATATTTAATACAATTTACAACACATATCTAAGGCGAGACTAACTGGATTCTGTGTTTTATATTACCCCACCCCCCTCCTCTGGGTTCCCCCTCTCCATCATAGTAAAAAAATTTTGATAAATACACATATAGCTATGGGATATTTCAGAAAAATTTTATACAGTCACGGATCAATTCGAAAAAAAATTTTTTGAAAAAAAAATTTTTTAAATTTTACTATATAAACCAAAAAATCTTCTCACCTCTTCCAGAGGGGAGAGGGGGTAATGTAAAACAGTTGGTCTTGCCTAATGAATAGAATAATACAAATAAACTTGAATTTCGACATTATATTAGTTATTTTTTTTTACTATTTGGTTTGTTTTCTGTGACATTCTTCGATAATTTATGTACTTTTTTTACAATCATTCTTTATGCCCTTCATTTCAAATTGATCAATACTTTTTTTCTGAATAGAGATTCGGATTTTCGTATCTTTCTTGAAATATTCAATGTCGGAAAAAAGTTGGCTACTATTGTTAGCGTTACTAATGATAAGTCAAAAATTTTAAATAAATATAATATGCTTATTAGATCTTTGTTGCTACGTATTTAAATAAATTCTGAATTGTTATTAATTAAAATTTAAAATACCAACCTAATATTAATATCACATTTAGACGATCGAACATTGCTTATTTATATATTTGGCTTCAACTTGTGACTCATAAGTGATGAAAGTATTTGGCGAAGTGGCATAGGTATATTTGATATATTCTATTATTTTGTTTAGCTAAGTTCTAATTTGATGGTTTCTTGCATGTAATTAACGAAATAAAGCTTACAATATAAAATACATGCTTATAACAAATTTTGCATCGCTTTTATTTTTTGCAAGAAAAAAAACCCCCCGAAAAACATTATTGAGTATTATAATTTAAATAATGATAAACCAATGACAATAAGAGATTTTATTTTATTAGCTAGATGACGTACGTATGTAAATACGTAAATTTGTTTCTAGTTCCGAATGTTCATACTGTTCCGATCTAGCTTTCCGGACGATCATCCGATCCCAACCTGGTACACATTTTCTAGGTGCATTATTTTCCCACGCAATTATTTTCACACAACCAACGATTATTCTTAATCATAACTATTCAAAATTTTCCCATGATATATAATGTGCGTAATTCTTTTGTACTAGTAACTTCACACAATCATAGCATGCTGTACTGTAATTTTTACATAATCAGTCTCTCACAACCAGCATGACTTGAATTACGTATAGACACATGATACCATGTCAATATTATTGCTATAATTGGAAAAATGAAAACCATTACTTATGCCAAAAAAGGATTTTGCAAAAATCAGCATAGCGAACATCAACGGAAACCCTCCCTCTACATTTCATGTTACACAAGAAACGTGATCGTACTGGTATAACAGTCGATCGAGATGTCACGCAGATCAGGTGAATAAATTTTTTACTATGAAATTTGAGTGATCGACACTCTTATGAAATTATCAATTTTCATAGTAAATTGCAACAGTAGGCCATTTTTAATTGTCACTTTCAGGGTTTCATAAAAAGAAACTGCGTTGCTGGACATATAAACAATTTAGCAATATAAATACTTTATTATACCTATGTTTAAAGTAAGAAAAAATAATAAACTTGAAAAGAATCATGTCTTCAAAGATGCCTTTTCATTTTATAACTCCATTAACCTATTTTATGGTTGGGAACATTGATTTTGCTAAATCTTAGCTGAAATAATAAACTTGGATCAGAAGAAATACTTCATGTTGAATAGACTTAGAACAGAAGGAGGAAGAACGCCATGTTGACTTCTTTGGCTCTGAAATAATAAACTTGGATCAGAAAGATGAAGAACGCCATGTTAACTTCTCTGAATCTTGGAAAGAAAAGTGTTAGCTGGTGTATTTTGTAAGAACTTCACAGATTCTTAGTATGTTTTTAGCATTTAAATTTAAACAGAGTTAATCATAATTAATTTCATTAATTTTAGAAGTTTAAACATTATTTGCCATGTTATTCTGTGGTTTATGGACGATTCAAAGTGTTTTTTTTATTATTTATCGAAATAGTAGTGTCGGGTTAAATTACAAATCGGTGTTTTTTTTTAAAAAAAATTGTAATTAAACAGAATTATAATATTAAATAATTTTTAATTAATAATGTCAGTGATTTTAAATTTCTGTTCGAATGATTGTCAACATGTTTGGTGTGCTTAGTTTGTATGAAATTTATAGAAAAACTGCTCATGTCAACCAATAAACCTTAACAAAAAAGGAATCGAATTTAGATTAGATTTTAATAACAAATAAGTTACTTGAGTATGTGCCACTATTAAAAAAGTTAAATATGATCATGAATTTGTCGACTGGTTTAAAAATAAATATCAGGTTAGAATTCCAAGTAACCAAGATATTACTAATATTTGTTAAGAATGCATGATAAATGAAATCAAAGTAAAAAATTTTATATGTTTGTATTTATTTATATAGTTTTTGTCTTCGACAAGGAACAAAAAATAATTAGAAATAAATAAATGCTTTCATTCAAATGAAATTAAATCTTACCAAAGATTTAGATTAATTTTTAAATCAAATTTTTTATCTTTGACAAGAAACAAAAAATAATTAAAAGTGAATAAATGCCTTCATTTGAGTGAAAATAGTTCTTATCAAAGAATAAGAATCGAAATAAATTAATTTTTTAAAACTGAATTTGTGTCAAAAAAATTAAAAATGAACAAATGCCTTTGTTTGAATGAAAATAGAACTTGCAAAAGGAATTGAAGTTTTATCCAATCTTTTAAAAATTAATTTTTGTCAAAAAATAGTTAGAAATGTCATTTGAATAAAATTTCGTCAAAAAATAATTAGATCTTGCCAAAGAATAGGAATTGAAATTTTACATGATTTTTTTAAAAACAAATTTTCGTCTAAAAACGACAAAAAAAGAAAATTGTATAAGTTCAAACTAAAAATAAGAAAAAAAAATCAACCAATAAAACTACTTATCCCACAAGATCTGTTACTAAACCTATTACTCACCTATGAAAAAAAGTTAGTATTAGTTCAAAGAAAGAAAAAATGCAAACAAAAAAAAAAAAGAAAAAACAACATAACTTACAAGTTCTAGTTCTAATCACAACCTAGTTTTCCAACAAAGTAAACCCACAAAGAAAGCTTTGCACTAAAGCAAAAAAGACAATACGAAACGAATTAAAGCAGTTCTAGATAAAAAAATTTGTGCCTGTCTTGCCAATCTATTTACTAAAGAAAAAAAAAAAATCTTATTAGCAAAGATCACAATCTATATATTGTAAAACAGTTTTTTTTAATTTTCGGCACAACGTTACTAATGTAACAACTCTTCGAAGATGCATTTCACTAAAAGTTCTCGCTCATGTGTATCTAACGAGCCATTTTTCATGTTGAGATCTTGAAAACTCCAAAAAAATCATGTGAAAGAAGGCAAAATAGTTGCCCATCTTTAAAGGGGTCGCACATTACTGGGTGCCGTTAGTTTTTTATATACTTTAAACCATTCGATTTGTTTGCTTTAAAGAACATTATCTGTTATAACTAAGTCTTTGGGAAAAAATTTTAAAAACGTGATTTCATCGATTTGTGTAATTTATGAAAATCATATAATAAAAATCAAATGTGACATCTTAATTGACAAATAAGTTCGTCTGTTTGCTATGATTAGAAGCCGAAGTAGTTATTCTGGCTTACCGTATAGACCTGAAATAACACCCACCTGTGTATTAATGGATAGTATGAAATTAAATGTATCAAATTGCTTTATGAATTTCTGAATGAGATTAATCCTCGAATTCCAAAATTCATTTTGAGGATTATATAGTAGTTTGAAAATCAGTATTTTTAAAAATAAATTTGTGAGCGTTACCATCACACAATATCAATTGTAAATGTAACCTTTTTGCTAAATTCAAGATATGCATTATGAACTTGTTTATCAAATGTTAGAAAGTTGTTTATGTGTTTGTTATAATTTCCTATATTTATATTTAAGTGTATGATGAGCTATTTTCCATGTTCAGTTAATTTATTATTGCATTATTTTTATGCTTCGATTGTTTAGATTCAATTTAAAATCAATATTATTAAAATAAAGATTCAAAGAAGCCAGCGTAGTGTTCTTATAAAGTGAATCTTCTAATGCTCTTCCTCCTTCTGATCCTAGTTTATTCGAGTTAAGATCCAAATAAGTCAGTGTGGTGTTCTTGTAAAGTGCATCTGCTAATGCTCTTCCTCCGTTTGATCCAAGTTTATTCTGACTAAGATTCAAAGATGTCAGCGTAGTATTCTTGCAAAGCGCATCTGCTAATGCTTTACCTCCG